AGGTCAAACGGGGTCACATATCGAAAAGCGGTTTTTAAGGAAAGTTACTACGGCCTATGGGCTACCTGATGATGTGCTTTGATTTGGAATTTGGTCAATCCATCTACTCGAAAACTGCTGTGCAAGTGTATTTTCGACATAGCCCACAAATGACCTTAGGTCATCGCATGACCTTGAGAGGTCAAATGAGTGTTGGGAAAGTAAGATTAGATGCTGGCGAGTCGATTGGTGCCATTTTTAGCGCTCTAGCTCTACTGGGTGGGCCACAATCTGCTGTGCAAATTTGGGCCACGTGACCTTTGCTGACCTCTCTAGGTCAAACGGCTGGGAGTGCCACCGAATGACTTGGACTGTGGATCGGGCATGTCATGGCCTACATTGTGTGCGAGTTTCAGCTTGATCGGAGGTGTCCCGAATCTGGGCTGAATCCGGGCTGAATCTGGGCTGAATATGGGCTGTCTTGACGGACATGCACGGCCACGGCCCCGGCGGCGGCACGGCGTGCTTGTCAGTGGGCCGGCCGTGACCTGGCGGTGACCGGTCGGTCTGTCTGCCGACCGACCACCGGTCGAGCCCCGACCGACCACTGCACAGTGGGGATTTTTCCGATCTAGCGCGTCTTAATTCTAAAAAGCTTTTTTGGATTTTTGTTTATTTTTTGTGTCAGTGGGGCTAAGAAATGTCTGAATTTTTCATATATGGCATTGTTTTATCTGTATGTCCACAGTAAGACTAGGAAAAATGCGCCCAAAGTTCACACTCTGCGTGATTACTCAATGGGCTCAGTAAGGCCCGAAAGTATAGCTCAATTTCATTGTCCTGTCCTATTTGTTTTATTCTTGCGAGGTCTTAAAGTTGCATATCTTCTGAAAGGCACCTTTATTAGGAATGGAATGGCAAACAGAAAGTATGCCACAACCTTACTAAGGTCACAAAAATGCCATTTACAAAAAAAAACCTTACAGACACCATATTGAAGGAATGGTATTCTAAATAAATGTAGGAAATCAACAATGTTCTCAACACTTTTCCACTCCGAAACATATCCTATCGAATTCGCCACTTTCTCCTGCACAAGACAACACCTAGTTTGGCTGCCGGAACTTGCCTGAACACGGAATATTCACATTATGGTATCTTAATACCCCACTCTAGGAGCGCTAGGGCAAACAGCACGATATAGGTATGTTCCGAACATAGGCGAATAATTTTGCTTCGTGATTTATATGATTTGATGCACATTTTCTGAGACACATTCATTAGGAATAGGATGACAAGCGTAAATTATACATACCGTAACCTCATTAACCCTCGCACTTGTGGGGAGGGGGAGGGGGAAGGGGTTGGATAAAACCCCATGGTTTTCCGCAAATCACTCGCGCAAAAAGCGGTCGATCGTGACGAAACTGTCGGTGCCCTCGAGATCATCAATTTTACATCTAATCTAAAAATTTCATGACTCTGACCCAACTGACCTTTGACCTGTGGCATATCTATCGAGACCATGTTTGGCCGGAATCGCGATTCGGCGTATGCCAGCTCACATTATCCGCGGTTTCCAGTCTTTTTGTGGTTTTAAACGTTCAAATATGTGAAATGATGTTGGTGCCATGCATTATGGTGGGTGTCAAGGTCACGTGAAGGTCAAGTCAAGGTCATTGACCTTGGATGACCTTGGTTTACTTTTTGGAGTTTTACTTGTTTCAAGGGTAGTTTTTGGTGCTGATTTCGAATTTAGCAACCATTTGAATATTTACAAAGTAGTTCTGGTGCCTTCGTACCATGTTACGAAGCTGTCAGTAGTAGGTGCCACCTACTATGGATGGCCGGCAGGACGCCTACTGGTTGATCTGACCTGACCTGACCCGACCTGGCCTAAATGCATAAAGACATCGTCTGTGATCAAAACTAACATGAAATTCGTCATCAGCACCCCAAAATACCCCCTAAACCCTAACTTTACGAAGTTTCAAGAGGTCTTGATTTCCCAACTTTAGTTGGGTCATTAAACTGACTTTGAAAGTCAACTAATGACCTTGGACTTTGAAATTGGATACATTCGGTCTCATCTCGTCATAGGCAGCACGCTTGATTTTTCTGCGAAGCTCTAGCTTGATCAGGGGCGAAACGGCTGAGCCGGGGGTCCAATTGAACCCCCTATAATATGTTGATTATGCACTTTTACAGGTAACATTCTCACCAGAACACACCAGCTAACATCTGTGCACAATCTGGCTACAATACTACCTATGGTTTGCCCTCTACGAATAAATACGTGCTAGATCGGAAAAATCCCCACTGTGCAGTGTACCGTACTGGGAGCAGCGAGGTCTGAGGCTGTCACCTCGGCGCCGCGGGCAGCGTCGGCCGGCCGCCGCCTGCCCTGTCCTCTCCGGTGTGGACGGAGACGAACATCGGACATAGGAGCGTCCCCGGCGGCCGTTTGTCCCAGTTGTGGGGCCATGCCGGCGCGTCGGACGGCACGGAGGGGAGTCGAGTCGTAGCCATGTGACTGCACGGTGGTGTGTAAGGTCGATCGACGAATACAAGGTGCATTGGAGAAGACACCCAGTTGACCACGTGACGTCGAGCGACACTGCACAGCGGACTGGGGAGAGGAGAAGGACAGGGTTGGGGGCTCAGCGGCCGCCGCAGAAACGAACACTCACGTATAGGGTAGGGACAGTCGGCAGAGACAGTCCCACCGGTCCCACTCATGGTATAGGGACATTCGGCAGAGACAGTCCCACCGGTCCCACTCATGGGGTGGGGACAGTCGGCAGAGACAGCCCCACCGGTCCCGCTCATGGGGTAGGGACAGTCGGCAGAGACAGTCCCACCGGTCCCACTCATGGGGTAGGGACAGTCGGCAGAGACAGTCCCACCGGTCCCACTCATGGGGTAGGGACAGTCGGCAGAGACAGTCCCACCGGTCCCACTCATGGGGTAGGGACAGTCGGCAGGGACAGTCCCACCGGTGCCGCCCTCAGAGGCCGGTGGGCGACTCCCACCACGAGTCCCCGGTGGGTGATGGGACCGGTGGACGACTCCCACCACCAGTCCCCGGTGGGTGATGGGATCGGTGGGCGACTCCCACCACCACGAGTCCCCGGTGGGTGATGGGACCGGTGGGCGACTCCCACCACCAGTCCCCGGTGGGTGATGGGACCGGTGGGCGACTCCCACCACCAGTCCCCGGTGGGTGATGGGACCGGTGGACGACTCCCACCACCAGTCCCCGGTGGGTGATGGGACCGGTGGGCGGCTCCCACCACCAGTCCCCGGTGGGTGATGGGACCGGTGGGCGACTCCCACCACCAGTCCCCGGTGGGTGATGGGACCGGTAGACGACTCCCACCACGAGTCCCCGGTGGGTGATGGGACCGGTAGACGACTCCCACCACGAGTCCCCGGTGGGTGATGGGACCGGTGGGCGACTCCCACCACCAGTCCCCGGTGGGTGATGGGACCGGTAGACGACTCCCACCACCAGTCCCCGGTGGGTGATGGGACCGGTAGACGACTCCCACCACGAGTCCCCGGTGGGTGATGGGACCGGTAGACGACTCCCACCACGAGTCCCCGGTGGGTGATGGGACCGGTGGGCGACTCCCACCACCAGTCCCCGGTGGGTCATGGGACCGTCGGTGACCCGCCGGGCCGACAGTTGTTCCCGCTGCCCTCTGCTACCGCCGGCCGACAGCCAGCCGGCAGCTCTCTTGTGGCGGCCGTCGGCGCCGCTCAGTGACCCACGGGGCCGGCGCTGAGGTGCCGCGGCGCGCCGCCCCCCGAGCTACCCAGTGGCGGCCCGTGGACACGCGGCTAGTGACGCACCGCCCCGCCGCGCCCCACCTGGGCCGTGACCTGGCCGGCGGCGGCGGTGTCGGCGGCGGCGGCGCGCCGGACGGTCACCAGTAGAGCTCCGACAGAGTCTCGGACCGACCGGACCGTGCAGCGAGCAGCGAGCCGGGCAGCCGCGCCGAGGGGCGGGCCGGGCGTCCGAGCCGGTCCGCACCTCTGACCAGTCGGAGGGGCGGGCGGTACGTCCGGTCCGCACCTCTGCCCAGTCGGAGGGGCGGGCGGTACGTCCGGTCCGCACCTCTGCCCAGTCGGAGGGGCGGGCGGTACGTCCGGTCCGCACCTCTGCCCAGTCGCCACTGCAGTGTCTGTGTACGGCCCCAGAACACGCAACGGGTGTCTCCCGAGCCGTGTGTGTCTCCGAGTCGGTAGTGTGTCCAGCCGGTGTTGGACAAGTGCCGCCGGCCGGCCGTGGCGGCTGGAATGGCGGGCCGGGCACGGGCCGGCCGGCTCATCCGCCGGCGGTGGGAGGCCCGGTGTCAGCTGTGGGTCACACACCAGCACCGAACACTGCAGTTGTGAGGGGGACGGGTGCTGGCCATACAACACACACAGAACTGCAACAGGGAACTACTTACATGACACCAGTCAGAGTGGCCAAAACACATGTGCAATGTGCAGGAATCTCAGAAAAGGTATATGTGTGATCGGATCCCACGTAGTTATCCTGATCTTGGATCCGATGGGATCCTGGATCCAGCCAAATGGCTCGAGACGGCAGCTGATTTACCCGAGGCGGCTCTCAGACCTGATCCCAAATGACGGCGGGTAAAACGGTGTGTCGTATACAGGTTACCGTCCGCCCGGCACCGGGGAAGGCGGTGAAATACGGCGAGTGGCGATCCAGCCAGTCAGTGTGTGGCCGCCGGTTAACGGTGAACTGCCACGCTGGGCCAGTATTATAGATATATACGACACCTGTTGATGATGTGCACGGAACAGAAGGACCAGACCTCGACGGCCGACGGTGTGCTCTGGAGCCGGGACCGCAGCTCGGCAGGTCACAGCAGCGGCGGCACAGCGGCGCAGAAACATCCCCCCCCTCTGGTGGAGCCAAACTGTACTCAGGTCATCAGGACATTAGCACAAATGATGAGGTAAGCTCCGAAGGTAGGTAACTGTTTTCCAGGACAAAGACTGGACATGTGTAAAATGTATTAGTCAAAGCGCAGCCGATTATCAGTAGCATGGCCAAGTGATAACTAAAATCTAAAAAGCCGTTCCGGAGTCGGAGTCAAGGCAGCTTGATCGACACGGACTCCGACTCCGACTCCCAATCGGTCGGTAGCCCAATTACCCCCTGTACGAAGCAGAGGACACCAAACATGGCGGCGCGCACCCGGGCCGTGACGGCGTGCTTCCGTGAACCGAGTCGGACAGACGCGAGGACACTCGTTATGACCGGTGCCGTCAGAGCTCTACACAATTCAGTAGCATCCAGCTGACTATATCCGACCGTTGGATAGCCGGCTATATCATACCCAGAGTTACATTATACACAATACCCGACCGGTAATTACCCACTACATCGCATCACTTCATCCAATTACCCACAATACTCGCCCGGTAACTAATTGCCCCAGGCTACATATATTACAGCTGAAGCGTCTCCTCTCGTGTATGTAGTAGACATCTGACTAACCAATCTGACTGACTGAATGAACTGACTGACCAATCAGCTGACGGACCAATCAGCTGACGGACCAATGGTCAGCTGACTGACCAATGGTCAGCTGACGGACCAATCAGCTGACTGACCAATCAGCTGACGGACCAATCAGCTGACGGACCAATCAGCTGACGGACCAATGGTCAGCTGACGGACCGGTCCCCGCCCCGGGCCGGGTGACGGCCGCCGGCCGGGACCGGAGCGGGCGGGCGCGGCGCGGCCGGCCGCCGTCTGAACTGGCACCGCGTGGATACTGCCAGCTCGGACGGCAGCTAGCCAGTAGTCGAGTAGAGCTGTCCGTGTGGGACGTGTCACAACACGCTCAGCACGGCGCTCAGCACGGCCGAGCCGAGGTGCAGCCAGACCCGGGGGGAGCGGTCACGTGACCGAGCCGTCCGACTCCACCGGGGGAGCGGTCACGTGACCGAGGCCGGCCGTGCCGCCGGGACCAGGCGCGGTGAACCGAGTCGGACGGTCAGAGACGTGTGTTCTTCATACAGAATAGCGTAATGCCACGATCGGTAGTCTCTCCAGCACATCACTTTTCACTGTCCAATAACCCACAATACCCGCCCGGTAATTACCCACTAGATCACATCGTTCCAGCTAGAGATGTCAATCGGATACCAACTTTTTGGTAAACCGATACCAAACCGATACCAACTCGGTATTTGGTATTTCAATCCTAATGTGTTTGGTATTTTGTTGGTATCATGAACACTCGCTAATGTTTAAGAGGCTAAAAAATCGGTAAAAGGTTGGTATTTTCCTCATGTTCCCAAGTTGGTTTGGTTTCGGTATTTCTTCACGGTTTTGGTTGGCATTTGGTTTGGTATCGGTATTCCGATTTTCCGTAATTGACATCACTAGTTCCAGCCAATTACCCACAATACCCGCCCGGTAATTACCCACTACAACACATCTCACTGTCGAATTACCCACAATACCCGCCCGGTAATTACCCACTAGATCACATCGTTCCAGCCAATTACCCAAAATACCCGCACGGTAATTACCCACTAGATCATATCCGTCCAGTCAATTACTCACATTACCCACCCGGTAATTACCCACTACATCACATCCGTGTGCTACTACTACATCTACACTACTACTACTACAACGTACATGGCTACACTGGAGCGGACACGGGGGCCGTGTGCCGGCTGACCGGCGCCGCTCTCAGTGCCGGCTGGTGCAGCACACACGGCAGCAGTCAGCTGGCGGCCCCGGCCGACTGGCTCGGCCTCTCTGCAGTCAGCTCATCACTGCACGGTCGGTAGTGCAGCGCATCAATCAGCGCCACTCATACACTTTGACCCCATCGCCTTCCTGGCTCTTCAGCTGATCGTACAGCTCCTCTGTGGACAGAGCAGAGACACGTCTGAGGTGGACACGTCACACACAGACAGACACACAGACAGCGGTACAGTCATGTCCACACACCGCCGGCCAGTGACGTCACACACAGGACAGACGGCTGACGTGACGTCACCGTCGGCCGTGGTGGCCGTGACGCGTCACGTCACCGTCCGTGACGTGGCCTGTGGCGGTGTTGGAGTGTGTGTGTCTGAGAGGCCGGTGGCGCCGTGCAGCGTCTGTTGTGAGGGACTGACTGGTCAGAGGCGCGGCGCGCGGCGCCCTCTCACCTACCGGGGACAATGAGACAGATGGTACGGGGCCGGCCATCACTGTCCCGGCCCAGGTCCGTCTCCTTCAGGGCGGTCAGCACGGCCCGGCCGGTGTCTGCCGTGCAGTGAAGGTACAGAAACACCAGCTTCCGACACGACTTCACCAGTCTGTAACAGAGCAGAGCAGCAGAGCCGTCACACACAAACACAGCGGCACCAGCCGGCCGGACGTACGAGTCAGTGTCAGTGTCAGTATTTCAGTGTCGGTGTGTTGGTGTCAGTGACAATGCGTCAGTGTCAGTGTGTCAGTGTCAATGTGTCAGTGTCAATATGTCAGTGTCAGTGTGATAGTATCAATGTGTCAACGTCAGTATCAGTGTGTCAGTGTCAGTGTTAGTGTGCCAGTGTCAGTGTCAGTGTCATTGTGTCAGTGTCAGTATGTCAGTGTCGGTGTGATGGTGTCAGTGTGTCAGTGCCAATATGTCAGTGTCAGTGAATCAGTGTCAGTGAGTTGGAGTTGGTATGTTGGTGTCAGTGTCAGTGTGTCAGTGTCAGTGTGTCAGTGTGCCAGTGTTAGTGTCAGTGTCAGTGTGTCAGTGTCAGTGTGTCAGTGGCAGTGGCAGTGTCAGTGTGTCAGTGTCAGTGTGTCAGTGTCAGTGTGTCAGTGTGTCAGTGTGTCAGTATCAGTGTCTGACAGGACACCCCTCGCCAGTGTCTGCTGACTGACCTGGTGTACGCAGCTGCTGTGAAGGCCGTCTCTGCCGGCCGCTGGCGGTCCCCCAGTGTAAGGACCTCCAGCCCGGGGCAGCCACTGAGACTGTCCAGCACGGTGTCAGGGACGCCGCCGGACAGGGTGAGCCACCGCAGCTCAGGGCACCTGGTGAGGGGCTCCAGACTCACGGTGTCAGGGACGCCGCCGGACAGGGTGAGCCACCGCAGCTCAGGGCACCTGGTGAGGGGCTCCAGGCTCACGGTGTCAGGGACGCCGCCGGACAGGGTGAGCCACCGCAGCCCAGGGCACCTGGTGAGGGGCTCCAGGCTGCCGGCCGTGAGATCATGACAGTCTGGAAAACACTCAGACACACATACAGACAGGATCAGTCGGCAGGAATATATGTAAATATACGGAAAAAACGAAACAGCTATGAATTCGCATGGTTTTATGGACACAGACGATGATATAACAATGGTAATATATGATATGCAATCAGTTCAACCAATGCATTGAACTGCATTGAACATTGCATTACAATCATTATGTGTACGTTCAACTAAGTCTAAACGAATATGTCACCGATTCCCTTCCCTCACTGATTCACACCATGGTGGAGCTCAATTAGCTTCATTATTTCACAAATCACATTGGCTATGCATCCAGAGGCGGATCCAGCTCAGAGTTTGGGGGGGGGGGCAAACCATAACAATTTATCGATTCTTTCCATGCATCGTCCATAGGCGTAATGTTAAAATTATGCCGTTTGGGGGGGGGCAAATGCCCATTTTGCCCCCCCCTGGATCCGCCACTGTATGCATCACACCTGTCTCAATGAGGTGCGACACCGGCACACCGTTACTCGATGTCCGCCATTCCCTGAGCTCGTATATCAGCGGCCTGTCCGTGCTGCCGCTGCTCACCGTATATCTCCAGTCGTTCGACCGTCCGTCCCAGGTCAGCCAGGTGACTGATGGTGTCGGCAGCCACCCCCTGGAGCGACACTGACAGACCATCATCCCTGTACCGTTCCGGCCACCTCGGCTCCGTCACCTCCGGCCCTGTCGGACAGAGCTGTGTCAGCTGACTGCAGTCGGACAGAGCTGCCGCCAGCTCCCCGCTGCACCACTGACACCAGAGTGTCAGACACTGACACAGCCAGCACTAGCACAGCCGAGTGGCTGCACAACGATATTTTTACCAACAGCATACATACGTAAATATTCAAATATGAGCAACATAATTATTACGATTTTTGCAAGGCACATTGGCTTAGGCACTGGGCAGCCAGTCATGGTATAGTAACGGATCAGGTTGGTAGACTACATAAATATATGGTTCGCAGTGGTTGCAATGAAACCATTTCAAATTACAATAATTGCTACAATAATATTTCATACATGCACTTGATGCTCCCACTATATACAAATGCATGCATTGCATCACTCTAATAATTACGAGCGAGCGAGCGCAGCGAGCGAAGCGAAGTCTTTTCAATATAACGGAAAAATCTCAGTATGAGCGGCCCGGCCCGGCCCGGCCCGGCCCGGCCCGGCCCGGCCCGGCCCGGCCTGTAACGCTTTTGAGAGGCTTATATCTCAGCAACCGCTGGACCGAATGGCTTGCGGTCTTTTTTGCTGGGTAGCCCCATCCCTTCTACCCCGTAATTGACTACTTTTGATACATCTCAGTGACCGTCGTGGCACGTGCCACGTGAAAAGTCAATGGTGTTCAAGCAGTTTTGCAAAAGTGATGATTTTGAGAGGCCCATATCTCAGCAGCGGCTTGAGCGATTGTCTTGCGGTCATTTTTATAGGATAGCTGCATCCCTTCTACCAGAGGTCGGATACTCTTGATCTATGTGAGTGACCCCCACTGCACGTGCAAAATACAATAATAAGAGGTGCCAAATTTGTTCCCATTTCAGTAACTCGGTAGTTACTGGGGCGATTTCGCTGAAACTTGGCATGCAGGTAGGCACCCACCAGGCAATGCATTCCCATTTGTTGTGGTTAGGGTGCTACTGCACGTGCGCACGTGCAGGGGGCGTTTCCAGATCTCGAGAACGGCTGGGCCGATTGCGCTCAAATTTGGTACACGGTTGGGGACCGGTTAGTAGGGTGCCGTGCAAAAGTCATTTTGGACCCCGTTTGCACGTGCGCACGTGCAGAATGCCGCTTCCAGATCTCAGGAACGGCTGGGCCGATTGCGTTCAAATTTGGCACACCGCTAGCGACCGGTTAGAAGGGTGCTTTGCACAAGCCCGTTGGAAGTACCCTCTCGCCCTTCTGCACGTGCAAGGCTCACTATCTCGCTCGCTCGTTCTTCGCCCAAAAGGCGTTTTACTGGTACTATATAACACAAACAAGGCTGTAAGATGTTGGCTGAATTTGATCGGTTCGTCCATTTGCCGTCTCCCTGTCCATTTGTATATCTATATGCATTGTCCATTATACCGGCATTACATGTATGATCCGTGGTATCTCACCTCTGACATTGAGGCACCTGAGGCCCTCCGGCAGCTGCTCCCTCAGTCGCGGGAGGTCGGCGGCGGAGACTGACAGGAGTTTCACAGTCTCCCGTGAGATCTGCAGCTCCGTCAGCTCGCTGTCACCGACTCCGGCCGGAAGGATGACAGTGTTTGGCTCCACCCTGATGATGGCACCACGAAGCTGACTTGGGATAGGAGTCATTTGTGCTGGAAAGGTGATCGAACCAATGTCAGGCATTAGTCTAGCTCAAACATAAGTGTACACTTACCTACAGGTGTAGCAAACACAAAGTGAAAACTGTTTGTGGCTACAATGCTGTGATAATTCCGTGTTTGAGTGAATATGTACTTTATCAAAACGCTGTGAATTTCATAAATTACGGTGACTTTCCGTAACAGAATAGTCAACGAATAAAATTATAATGGGTCTTTGACATATATAGGTAAAACAAAAATCACAATTAAATTAGTGCATAATATTCCGAACTATATAGGCATATTCTCATAATGTCAATTGCTCAATCTGACAGCTTTTGAAACCTTTTCACATAGGTATTTTGTTCAGCTCTTAGGTGTAGGTACGGCCCTCCAGCAAAAGCGTGGTTGGTTAGCCTATGCTTTTGGTGCAATAACTTTCAATGACAGAGACACTCCTGTAAAATGACTCAATAGAAATGAGAAGAGGGTTTGTGCACACACTTCGGCAATGGTTTTCAGCAGGCAAGGGACGTATTCATTAACCCGCGCCCCGTAGGGGGGGGGGGGGGCGAAACGGCCCCTCCCTGTCCTTTTCCGTCAATATCTCCTAAACGGCTGGAGATATCGCCACCAAACTTTCAGGACCCCTCCGGGCATCAATTTTACACATTGTGACTTAAAATTTTTCCAGAGGCTATGATAGGTTGGCCACAAATGACGTCAGAATGGCGTCATGTTCTGCCATTTTCGACCGAAAAAAGACCTTCGCGAGAAGACCTGTCAGGCCTACAGCTTTGAAGATACAGAAAAATGATCAAAACATAAAAGGTGTAGAATTGACAGGGCTACAAAACTGCTATCTCAGATTTTTGAGATTTTCGAGTTTTGACCCCAAAAACCAAAAAAGCATTTTTTGGATATATTAGCCAAAAAATCCAAAAAGTTTTTTGAGTTTCGAAAAAACCGGAACATATGTGATAGTACCTACCGTCTTCTATCTACATACCAAATTTCAGATCGATAACTCCTTTTTTGGCCAAGTTATAGCGAAAAAACTGTTCAAAAATGATGACGTCAAATTTTCAAACTCAATTTTTGGCAATTGTAGACCTCGTAGAGCAGAACAAAGACCACCATTATACTCCCCGTGACGAGCTGCATCGAATCGATACCCAGTTTATGCAAAAATATCAACTTTGAAATTTGACCTAATTTGACCTGACCTTGACCTGACCTTCACCAAAATGTGACCCAGGCTGGCCCCAAAGGCTGCCTAACCCACATAATCGCATTTGTCATGTAAAATGGACCATAAAACATGTATCACACGACACTTTCATATTGTGACCCCCGGTGACCTGACCTCGCTGTGACCTGACCTGGTATCAGTGACCTCAGACAGTAAAGTATGTGTTTGACGAACAATGTACCATCGATGGTTTTCAATAAATTACCAATTTACTCGATTTCACAACACATTTCTTGAAATGCCTGTTAACGGTGAAAATCCGACCTTTGACCTGACCTGTGACGTCATCGGTTTGACCTAGGTCAATGAAATTTGGTCACAAGGTAGTTCCCCGGTGGGGCTATCGAATACCGTTTGAATTTTGAAAATCGGCCGATAAATTTCCGAGATCTTAGGGGGGGGGGCGAAACGGCCCCTCCCCTACGGGTGGTAGGGTCCGCCGATAGCCCTACGGGGCGCGGGTTAATGCAGATCGCTTATTGTGATGTTGGCAACCAACCACTTAATACCTGGAG